GTTTAGAGTTCCTTCCTACAACCCACGATGAATGTATTATTCAATTATTTGTTGTTTCTTTTTTCATACAAAACTTTAACATTTTTAACCTAATTTATATTTAGATTATGGAGTGAATCAAATAATAATTTTATTTAATTACAATAGTTATATATAATATCCTATTTTTTAAATAATTTCTTGACTTGGTTAATTTTTTTTCATTAATTTTAATATTTTAACAAAATTGTTTGCCCAATCAAACCCTATAATAAACTTTTTATTTTTTAATTTTTGAATAAATGAATAATATCAATAAATATGAAACAAAGTGAAATTTTTTTTTTTTTGAAATAGTTAGTGTCAAAATTAAAATAAATTGATGTAATAACGAAGAAGGAATCTAGACCAAAAAATGTTAGGAATAAGACCTCTTCTCGACCCACCAAACATTTGCTTTTCAGTCAACTCTATTTTTAATTTTTAATAGAAATTAGGATATTGGACAGAAATTGGGATCTAAAACTAAAATAAAGACGAGACACGACCTTATCTTTTATTCCAAGTCATCCACTTATTTGTTCCATGTCCCAATTTTCGTCTAACATTCTAACAAATTTCTATCTAAGTACAATTTTTCTAAATGTTTACGTAGTGCTAAGGATAATTTAGAATTTTTAAGAGAATACGAGTAATTTCATATAAATGTAAAAGTTCAAGAATTTTTTTTTTTTTTTAATTATAATTGAGGGGGTGATTGTTGTTAGTTATTCTCGAGGATTAAAATATAGGGTTTATACATGGATACAATTTTTGCTCATGATAGCTCTCTTGTCTTTCGTATACCAGTAATATAGAATGTATTATTTGAAAGTCGAGCTACATCAAAGAAAAATTTAAAATTTTTTAGAGTCACGTGTAACGAATATATATTTACAAATGTTATGATAGTGATGACGAACGAATGTACTGAATATATAAATAACTAAATATACTTAATCTAAATGACGGAATAGGTGGAATACATATTTCAATAAAAATAAAGATTGATGTTTTCAAACTCAAATTATCTCAATAAACATAAGATCGTATATGTGATGATTATGATGAACAAAATGTTATCCAACTTTTTAGTATCAATCGGTCCTCAAATGAACAGAACAAATAAGCACAAAGACATGGTTAAAAGAGTAAGGATTACATCAATAGAGACAGAAGATGAAAATATGTCAAGTACTTCGAACATGATGAAAACTAAAAGATAAAGGAAGAACAGAAAATACTAGGATTGCAGCAAAAGTATATAGAATGATAATGCATCCTATCTAATATGGTATGGCAATACGAGTACAACTTTTAATCTTGTATAATTGTAATCTCTTCGCAATTATCGCAGCCACAGATGTAATTTCAGAATGAACGAAAAGATTGGCACACGAGCAAGCGTGAAAGAGAATTGTCGAACAATTGACTGAATGACAAAAAAAAATATAAAGCAGTGTTACAATGGGGATGAAGAAAGAAATGCATTGATTAGAGAAGCTAAAAATTAGCTATTTGTAATAAATTTTAAATAAAATAAAAACTTTGTTACCGGTTCATTTGCGAAGGAAGAATCTTTTTAATCGTTCTACGCTCCATTGGATTGTTGTATGAATCTTGTCTTTAGTCTCGTCTGCAAACTTGAAATAAGCATATCTCCAACTCCTCTTGAATATTAAAGCTCCAACAACTCCCCAAAATCCAACGGTATATCCAAGTATTATCATTACGTAAAACAACCACTTCTCCCATTTATCTTCCTCTTCATCTTGATTCTCGATATGTCTAAACCGCGGCTCAAATGAATTTTTAGTTGTACATTTCTTTGGAAGTGGATCCCCACAAAGATAAGGATTGCCATCAAAACTTGAAGCCTCATTGAATGTAGAAAGATGACCCTCTTGAGGAATCTCTCCAGAAAGATTGTTGTGAGATAGTTTCAAATCGCCTAATGAATTTAATCTTGATATGCTCCTGGGAATTGGCCCGAAAAGTTGATTGAAAGATAAATCAAGTGATTCTAACGATTCGATTTCTCCTATTTCAGCAGGAATTGTCCCTGTGAGATTGTTGTGGGACAAATTCAATCCAATCAACTCTTTAAGCTTTGTTATCTCACTTGGAATAGAACCGACCAAGTAATTTTGAGAGAGATCTATTTTCACCATGACTTCTAGTTGCTTCATGGAGTAATATAAGTCATTTGATTTGATTGACTGCCTTATACTTTTCTCTCTAGGATGGGAAAAGATAACATATGCTTGCTCTGTCATTGCATTAAAATTGCGAAGATTTTGTGGGATAGGTCCTTCTAATTGGTTACGTGCAAGATCCAAATTGAACAAGGATGTGAGATTGCAGAGACTTGAAGGAATGGTACCATTGAACAAATTATCTCGTAGCATCAGACATTTCAAATTTTCAAGATTATTACCCACCCATGTGGGGATGTTTCCAGAGAATTTGTTTCCTTCGAGATCTAAAATTTCCATATCTTTGGAATTCTTTAAGATTCTTGGCATGGATCCCTCAAAACTATTGTTTCCCAAGAACAACCTTTGAATACCAGAAAGATTTCCATGTGAATATGGAAATGTCCCGGAAAAATTGTTTGAAGACAAATCCAAAATCGTCAAGTTTGAAGTCAGCCAACAACCTTGAACCATTCCTGAAAACTCATTACTTGAAAGATCGACTTCAGTCAAATTCTTCAACTTGCAAAGTGAAAGTGGTAAAGAATCATTGATAAGATTACCATTGAGATACAAGTATTTCAAATTCGGCATTTGATCTCCAATGCTTGTGGGAATTGGCCCCACAATTTGGTTGTGGGAAAGATCCAAAGCGGTGAGACTTCGGGCTCTCAACCATATAGGAAAATCGCTTGAGATACTTGTCTTGGACAACCCCAAAGTAACCAATGCCTTTTGTGTTCGAAGCCATTGAGGGAACTCACTTCCAAAACAATCCGTACATGAACTTGCATAAAAATACTTTAACTGAAAGGTAGGAATCCAGTTAGATTTCATGTCTAAGGAAAGATGCTCATTGTCACCAATCAATAAGGTATTCAACCGAGAGAGATTCGCAAAATGAGCTTCTGCAAGTACGCCTTTGAGCAAGTTATGTGATATGTCTAGCACCTCCAAATTTTCAAGTTGTATAAAACATTCCTCCCCCAACTCCTCCAATCTATTCCATCCGAGAATTAATTTTCTCAAATTTAATAATTTTCCAAATGTAGTTGGAATTGCTCCGGTTAGAGCGTTGCTGGAAAGATATAAATTTTCAAGGCTGGATAAATTGCCAAGTGAAGCAGGAATTGAACCATAAATGTGACTCCTAGAAAGGGAAAGAGACCTCAAGTTTTTGAATTTTCCTAACCAATTTGGAATTTTGATTTGTATAGATGTACCAGGTAAGTTGAGCACTTGCAGATCATACCGACTGCAACTCATAGATTCATTTTCATAACTTCCAAACACATCTCCACCAAGATCATAGTTGTAGGATAAATCAAGTGTTTTTAGGATACAATTGTTTCTAAATATGAAGGATGAAACTCCACCATCAATGGAAGTGAACTGATTGTCTGAAAGGTCTAGGAATTTCAAGGAAGTCATGTTGTGAAAAGCCTTAGGAATTGGACCATCGAAATGATTAACAGACAAATCTAGATATTGAATTCTAGAAAGAAACGAAGAATTCATGGAACGGAAAGAAAATTGGTTGTTTTGAAGGCCACAACCTCTCAATATTAACGATGACAAAAAAGGAAGAGAGCTTAGCACTTGCATTAAATTGGAAGCCTCTGAAAGATTCGTACCACTCAAGCCAAAGAAGTGCAAGGAAGAAAGGTGAGATATCCATTCAATGTCGCGATTGAGTTGCTTCAATTCAACTCCGCTTATGGAATAACCGTAAGAATTCGACAAATCAAGAACAACCAATTTAGTAAGATTTCCTAAATGACGAGGAAGGACTTTTGCATTAAAAAATGCATTAGAAAGATTAAGATATGTTAATTCAACCATTGAACCTAAAAAGTGTGGGATTTGAGTATAGTTGAAATAGTTTCCACTTAAATCCAAGTAATTTAAGTGTTTGAGCTCAAGCAAACTAGAGTCAATAGAATTGTTAAATAAAGGAGAGGAGTAGTCTAACCGATTGCTTCTAAGATCAATCTTAATAACATGTCGAGTAGTTTGATTACATCCCACACCATACCAATTACAGCAATTTGTTCCATTCCATGAAGCCAAACGATGAGAAGGATCCCACCAAAAACCTCTTTTGAATTGAAGAAGAGCCTCTCGCTCCTTTTGAATGCAGGTTACCGCTGAAACTCGGGAGAGAGAAAATTGGAGTAGCACCATCATTGATAATACACACAATAGAAATGAAAGTTTCTTCATTTTGGAAAGGATGGGAATGAAGTTTAGAGATGATTCCTTTTATACATGAAATGAAGTTTAGAGATGATTCCTTTTATACCTGAAAAACATCAATTTTGTTTTTCAATTTTAAGCTATGAGATTTTTCTTTTTTGTTTTGTTTAATTTCTTATAATTGGATGAAGAAATAAACGGAAAGTTCACACAAAATGTAGAAAGAAGACATCTCGTGGACCCACCAAAAGACTTACTTTTCAGTCAACTCTATTTTAATTTTTAATCGAAATTATTACCACCAAAAGAATTTTGGTCTAACTTTCTAACAAATTTCTATTTTGTGGACAAATTCTAAAATGTTTGTAAAGCGTAAAAGAATAATATTGCAAATATTTTTCCAAAGTCACTTTTTGATGGATAGAGAGTAAAGATTGGTTCATGATACATAGATAAGTTGTCTCACGACTCTCTCGAAAATTAAGTTCTGACCTCACATCGAAGCAATAAAATCAATGGAATCCGAAATTGTTTGGAGCTGGAATGAAGAGGAAAAAATAGAAAGCATAGGGCGAGAAAGAAATGATAGTATGAAGCAAAGAAAGAATTAAGGTTGAAAATTTATTGAAATAGCAATACAATTGTGGTGGGAAATAGTATAGTATAGTATGATCCTCCCATAGTGTTTTGTTACGCAGGATGGTGGAGGAACCACACATACACATCTTCTTAATAACCATTTTCAAAATTAAAATTAAAATCATTCATTCATTCATTCATTCATTCACATTCACACCATATACTGTGGTTTTCAAAGCATCATCACCATCATATTTACCCCATGACATCCCACCACTCCTACTCCTCAAGGACCCACCACCACCACCACCACCACCACTTCCTCCTCCTCCGGGAGAACCAGGGCCTCCAGAATTATAGCTCGCAAGAGGCGGTTGGATCTTCACCTGGTTCCACTCGTAACCTCCTCCGACCTTCCTGCTTCTCCCTTCCTTCCATCGCTCAACAGGTTGCTGCCCCAAACGGCTCGGGGAATTGTGTGAACTATGAGCCATGAAATGGGAATGCTTCGATGAGGGACGACCATATCCGGTGTACAAATCTTGACCTGAGGGCGGGCTTCCCATATCTTGGACATGTCCACTTTTTCTGAAATTGTAACGCATGGTCAAGTAACAACTTATGAATGTCCCAGCAACAAGTGAACAAGCACATGATATCTACCTTTGTGAGGTTACATTCAAATTAGCGCTTGGAATACGAAATCTTCCAATCCCAATCGATGGATTAGATGAACCCACATGCATGTTGCTCAACTCACTCGCAATGCTGCTGACATCTGAATCCCCATCATCTTGGAGGAGTAGTTCATCACTGAACCGACAAAAATTGTACCACGTTAAAGTATGCATGAATTATGTGCTCTCACGGTTTCAACAGACAGATGTGCAAACAAAAGAAAGCTTCATGAGTTATCTAAGCTAAGACATATTTGGCATGTGTCCGACACCAATATACATGAAATAATAATAAAATGGGAAATAAAAATCTATAACAAAAACAAGAACCAAGTGTTATGGTTAGGTGGTAACAGTGGATTTTTAAAACTACTCTCCAGAACCAACCAGATTTTGTACCTTCTACTGGACTATATAGGATTTAAAATCAAAAGCATAAACTAATTGCCATGCAGATAAGAACGCACAGATAATTACCAATGCATATGTGAAAGTTTACTAACCTATAATTGGGATCCCAATCTCCAGGATCAGGCAATTCAGACTTGTTACGAGCCACGTCCGATGGTTGCGAAAATTGCATATTGGAACCAGGCAAATGAGCTCCTGGCATACTCTGAATGGTAGGGTAACCAGCAGAGCTTCCACTACCTACTTGATGCTGCTGCTTCCAGCTGCTGGCATTGCTACTTGGTGGTAGATGAGATGGGGAGCAACCATGTAAAGAGTTCCCATCAGCTTGTAGACCGTAACTCGTGCCTTCAGTAGATTGACCTTGCCAGTGCGAAGATGAAGAACCATCATGACTACCAGAGTAATCCCAAAATTTCCTTCTATTAAATTGACCGACTGTAGCCATTTTCCCCAAAGGCGATCCCTGACAACTACCCCTTGCAGGAGAAGTTGGCCCAAAGTGTCCAGGAGAGCCCACTGAAACTTGACCATAGCTGCTCGGTGGAGTAAACTGCGATGGACTCGTGCCTAGGGGCAGTGGCGCAAAGTTCCCGGTTGATGGGCTCACACCAATCCCATTGCCATGTGATAATTGGAAAACCCTCTGCCGAGTATCTGGGCTGCTTGCACGCATTGATATCCTTCCCTGAGGATGCATATTCATTCCAGATGGACCAACAGGTGAATAATAGGCAAGCATACCATTGTCTCCGTAACTTCCGTAGCTGTTTCCGAACCCAATAGTTTCGTTGTAGCTACCATGACTTCCAACGCTGCCATAACTGTTGGCATGGACATATGGTACCATTTGAAAATGTGGGCTGCTCTGCAGAACTCTGCTCCTACCTGCAATCTGAATAGAAGTAGATATGTACTTCAGATCAGAAAAACTTGGTAAATCTGGCAAAAATGACAACAAACAATTTGAAAGACCACCACGGTAGTAAAGGGACAGCAGTCTCACATTGGGAGAGAGACCAGCTGCAAACCAATGCCCTCCACCTGGATGATGGTTGTCCACCTTTATGCTTTGTGAAACAAGCTGTGAAAGAGAGAGAGAAAAGAAATAAATAAAATTAAAGAGTTTAAAAAAACTGTATGAAACCCTTCCTATTGGAGATCACTCATGAATACACCGGGTTATATGAAATTGTCTGTTGTACGTAATACTACAACCTTCAATGCTCTGATACACTTGTTGTACCCAAATGCCACAACCAAAATGTTACAATATCAATTGTTATAGTGGAATGTCACAACTAAAAATGCTATGATACCCAATTGTTGTAGCAGAATGCCACAACCAAAAATGCTACGATACCCAATTGTTGTAGCGGAAGCGGAAGCAAAATCGATCGCACTCACACACCCACAAACTAAAATTAAACAAAGAGACACAAAGATTTACGTGGTTCGGAGAGAAGAATTTCCCTACATCCATTGTCTTGCTCTAAAAAGAAACTTTTATGGCTAAAGTGTGTCCTTTGAGATATTCCAGGACTTTAAGCTTGCTATCGTCCCACAAAACTAATAATCCTCCAAATCTTCCAATGGGATCAACATTTATTACGATAAAATATTAACAGGTCAATAACAGTCAATAACAGGAAAATGGTTTGAGATTTTGCAGTTTAAAAATGAACCTAGAAGTTTCATAATCATATTAATGTTTAACAAATCAACTTACCAAACGTGGGGTCTCCGGTGGAGGCGTGTATGGGCATGTGAAAGGCTCTCCTGTCACAAAAGGGTGTTTGGAGGCCTGCATGCACATATGGATTCAATATCCAAGTGTCTATTGCATTTTAGTTATAAAATGTACTATTCGGGTAAATTGAATACTGGGTAAACTCTACACGGGGGAAAAGTCAATACCTGGAAAGGCGACCACCTTTTTGCAGGATCGAACTCTACAAGGCCCTTTAGGAAATCAATTAAGGCCAATCGTACTCGACTCTCTGTTAATAAATTACATTGTAACTAACCCCAGTTAGAAGTTGCTAAGAAACAGACGTTTGGAGCTAAGGACACAGAAAGGCTTACCTTTCCTAATATCTTCCTCAGCTAAGTTCTTTCTGTAAGGGTAGTTAGTCACAATTGCCTCGAGGTTCATTCGATTGAAATACTCTTTTCCAATTGAAGGCTTTTTCATCTCTCTCTGAACATAAAAAAGCAAGTCAATTGCACAAATGGACACAAGTGTTGGGGTTGAAAGCTGTGTACTTGTAAACAAGTAAGTAGGGACTCAGTATACACAAACAATGAACAAATTTAGAATAGGAATCAGAGCATCTAAATTACTAGGCATCATCGAGAAAAGATTGGTTAGACAGAAAAATGTCTAGCAAAAGCATCTCTGGTACTCAATATATTTTCTTGCCAATAGTTGATTTTATTGGAACAGAGGAACTAATAAAAGTATACTTACAGCTTCATATTCATCTGCTTTTAATGCTTGAAAACTGCTTCGACCACTTCCATAAATATCACCAATTTCATTATGGAAACCTCCAATAAATTTAAAGAATTTGCTAGTATGTTTTGCCTCCTTCAGAACATAATCCGGAGGCTGTCCCCTGTTGAATATAAAGTATGCATGACATGAAAAGACAGAGAAAAAAAAATATATATATATATATATAAACAATTTTTCTTATAAATAGATATAAAACTAGTTTACAGTTAAATCAAATAAAAAAAACCACCCAAGGTGGAAAAAAAAAAGATAGAATAAATTAGTTCAAAAAAATTCAGATCAAATAATGTGATCTTTTCCTGTAATTTGAGGGTCAAAAAGAATAGTAGAAGAACAAAAAAAATTGAACCTCAGATTCCACTGCAACACATCAGTACTGCAGTAAGTCAATACTTTTCTTGAAACATATGAACTTCTAGTTGTATGAAGATTTGAAAACAAAATTTTGGGGAACTCCCAATTTATACCACTAAACTTTCATAAGTGCATCAATTTAGACTTTGTTTCCGCTGTTGTTGATACATCATTTTCATATGTGTGTAGACTTAAGTGCAAGATTAACAAAATATTAGAGGAAGTGTTGGAACCAAAGGAGTGGTAGCAACTTCATCAATATAGAGTTCCATCTCCCTTCTTCCTCTATTGTTCTCAAATTATTTGGAAAAAATGTGGGATAGGATTTTAGGAAAAGAATAACGTTATTTAGGTAATCTTGAGTTGATATAAAATGAAATTAGGTGAAAGTAGTTATGAATCACCAACAAATGGTCTAAAATGATTCCCTAATAAAGGTGTAAGGTTTCAATGGATACAAATTATTAGCGTAGGATTTAATTGATCAACTGGAAAGTTTAGGGGTAAAAAATGATAATTTTTCAAAAGTTTAGAAACAAGGGAATTTCTATATGAAAGACCATAATTAACATCTTTCCTTCCTCAGGCAATGGTGTGAAGGTGAAGAAGTTCTAGAATGACAAGTGGGTTGACAATGCTCCTAATATTTTCTTAACTAGTACATGACCTTGATGGAAGCGTTGGTCTGTAAATCTGGGTGGAGGGAAGGTAGTGCAAATTTAAAGAAGAGTTGCAGGAGCAGTCACTGCTCATGATTTTGGTGGTTGATAGACTGCCTCTCCTGACAAGGATATAAAGCTTTGGCTTCTGAATGAGAAACATATTTTTTTTTCCTCGCAAGTCTATATTTCAATTTTCAAACCATTTCCCCGACAGAAAGCAGTCATTTAGATGAAGTTTTGTAAATGCAAATACATGGAAAAAACGAGGTTTTTCCATGGTCGCTGGTTTTGGGAGGCATTGGTATCATTTTTCTGTATATATTTCTCCCAGATTAATATGGATTTTTGCAAGCCCTTTCAGCTTTTGTACATTCATTCTTTGGATGAATTTTTTTCTTTTACAACATGATTATTTTATAATAAAAAATAAGAGAAAAAACACTTACCCAAGAATGTCGATCATCCGCCTCAATAAATCGAACTCAGAAGCTCCTGGAAATAATGGCAGTCCAAGAAACAACTCAGCAACTATGCATCCAAAGGACCACATATCTATAGCTGTAGTGTATCTGAAAAAATGGTTAAGGGTAATGCTTGAAATCGTAAAAAACTAGGAGGAAATATATATACACATTATATTATATGTACTTTAAAGATTAAATAACAAATTTAATCTCTAAACTTTGATATTTTTAAAATTTACGAATGTATGAAACATAAAATTGAAAGTTAGACTTCCATCCGATATCATTTAAGTTTATATCTAATAGATCAATTAAATTCTAAAAATTTTGAATTTGTCATGGACCTATTAAACACAGACCTATTAGACACCTTTGAAAGTTGAACTTTCAAAGGACCAAACTGACACAAACCTCAAACCTCAAAGTTCAAGAACAAAAGAACAAACTTGTAATTCAACCTAATTTAAAAGCATCCATCATCAACACTCGGGGAGCGTTAGAATTATTTGACGGGTTAAGAAACCCACAAACCCAATAAAGCGCCTACATAACATTGCTCCATGATGAGAAGCAAAGAGATGGACACGGGAAAGGAAACAACATGACACAGATACGACTACACATTAAGTAGGAGACATGGACATTAGGGACACCTAATTTAAGCGAGGACAGATAAATTTAATACTTCAAGACTTCAAGATGGATAAGACATGTAGCTTGTGCATAAAAAACCAAAATATACTAAAGGCTTTATTAAAAGTTTGTGTTTGGTCCCATAGCTTCGATTCATCCTCAATAATCAAAGTAGGAGTTGATTTATTATTGTCAAATGAAGAGGCCATCCTATCCAACCACTATAAATATCAAACATCAAGAAGATACTACATAAAGTTACTCGCGGCTGTGGAGTTCATAAATCATTCAAATAAAAATCATAACAATGATGATGATGAACAAAAAATTTTAATTTAAAATATAAAATATTGTGTGTGAATGTTTGGGGCCAACTTGCGCGCACCTCAACTATTTTCATTAGACAACTGGAGAACTCATAGGTTATTAACACAAGTTGCAACCATGACTTAAACTCATTCTCTCTATAACTCGTTACTTATTTACATTCTCTTTTTTTTTTTTTTTTTTTTTTTGTTAGATATCGGGAGAAATATATACTGGCTCTTATTGACAATTGGGTCAACTCATAAAGTACTATTATTTGGAAACTACTTTACAACCTACACCAAATACTTTCTAGGTTTTAAAAAGTTTACAAACAAAATTTAATTTTCGCCATTGCAATGTTTTCTCAACCTCTTATTAGTTTTTCAACCAGATCTGGACACTCAGAATAGGTACACATCGTGTTCCTCATTCAAGGATACTAAACCAAATAAGTTACTAGATTTTAAAAAGGTTGTCGATAAGATATAATTACATACATTAAATGTTTTCAATTTTTTAGTTTGGACACTTCGAAAATTGTATATGACACAATAACTCCCTTCAAAAGGATACTGATATCCGAGCAGGACTTCTGGAGACCTATAGTAGCGGCTCTGCGCAAGAGGAAGAAGAATAAGAAACAGAGATCATCTTTAGAATGCTGAGGATGAAATGGAGATCTGGAATTACCTGGATGTAAGAATAAACAGTGCGGGCTTCCATGCAAGCTGATCCGAAGTCAATTATTTTAATTTCTGCCGGCTTGGCACTGCTGTTTCCAATGGTGAAAAATAAACAAACACCCGCAGCCTTGTGTAAACAGTCAAAGAAAAAACAAATTAAGGGAAGAACAAATCTTTATCTCCACAACTTACCTCGTGCATAAAAGAATATTTTCTGGCTTTAAATCACAATGAATAATGCCAGCATCTTTCAATAGTGCAAGCCCGCATAAGATCTTCTCCAATATAAACCAGACAAAAGGTAAGATGGTCATCAATGGAACACAAATGACAATGGAACACAAATGATGGTTCATTTGAAAATTCAAACCGTAAACAAATTGTTATACCTGTTTGGATAACATTTGAACAATGCTCAATGACAACCCCCTAAAATGATTGATCTTGATAAGCTCATACCTAGAGTATGGGCAGAATTTGTAATCCAAGTATATATTTCAAATCACAATTTCTAGATAAAAAGGACAATAGGTAAGGACTTACAAATTTGTATCAAGCAGCTCGAAGCAAATGCACAGATGACGTTGATATACAAAGTAATCATAAATACGGACAATATGATGCTTGTCCTCAGGATCATACTTCTTATTTAACTGCAAGAAAACTCAACATAGCAAAAAGATATTAGGTCTCATACTATATTTTTCCTATACTTTCAAAAAACATGCAATACCAAAAAAAAAACAAAGAATCAGCAACCGACTCAGAATTGAAGACAAATTTGGATGGGAAGAAGAAATCAGTTTAGCAAGTTACTAAAAAACATTTGTAGGTTATGTGCTTCTAGAGGCCTTTTATGGGGTGGGTATTTAGAAGAAAGGAATAAAAAAATTTGGATGGCAAATCTACCGCTTCTACCTTCTTTTGTAATTGTGTATGGCTAACATCCTCGTCGTGACCTCTTAGTTACAAGAAATTCTCTTGTAACTACGATTTATGTCCGTGCTTCAAGATCGGAAGGTTTTGCTTCATTAGTTATCTGAGAGGGGGCTTTCTCATCCCCGGCCTCTAAGCCATTTTTACCTTGTTTTTGTCTATATACTTTCCATCATTTCAAATAAATAAGAATAAATAATAAACCATTTTTGTTTCAAAACATGAATTAAAAATTTGGAAAATACAAGGTTATGATCTCCAAAGGTAGATATTCCCACTCAGTGTCCATAAATGCAAACCACAAGGATCTTCTATCTACCCCATCAGATAGCTCTGTTAAGCATCCTCTGTCTTGTCTAGAAACAGAAGAATCTAGACGAAGCCATTTAAAGAAAATAAGGTAAAGCGTCATACCTACAGCATTCCAGAACCCCATAGTCTAGTCTACTGACCAAGTCATGATTTTGTTTCAATTTTCATATTGCTTTTCTTTTCTTCTGCTGAGGATTTACAATGTATTGTTCCGTTTATGTCCCTCTCTCTATAGAGTTTCCATTTATGCCTCTTCAAAAGTAATATCAATCTGTCATCAACAGACTAATATTATAGGAACATTTTTCTGGAGGATTCTAGTAGTAACTTATTGGACTTTCAAATATAAAACTTCAAGAAATATATTTCTTCCAAAATTGAGCTTTTAGCTCACAAAAGAAAATAGCCTCGTTGGTTCACTAAATCCTCTAATGGCAACAACAAGAAACGGAAATAACCATTATCCAAATAGATATGAATGGAAACAAAGTTACCAATGTCAAAATAGATACTTCAACCAGTGCTTGCTGATAATATGCAGGTTGGTTTTTTATGATCTTCAAAGCTACGAAGCTGTTAGTTTCTGCAACCCAGCATTTAGCAACCTGCCCAAAGGTCCCATGACCAAGTAGATCTTTGACAACATATCTGAAATAACCCATTAGCCTAATCAAAAGCATGACCTATTGAATTGTATATAGTATATGAATGAAAAACGGTGTATATCTAAAAAAGTAAAGGGCATATGCCTAAGGAAACTTGAGTTTTGGACCCTAGTCACAGGGGTAAAATGCAAGCACGGGAAAGACAAAAGTTACACTTTCAAGCATCTAAATGCTGCAAAAATATAATATCTATAGTAAAATTTTCAATAAAAGAAAATGAAATGGAAATAGAAATTTTAGCTTTCTGTGTCTTATGCAAAAAAGCAAAAAACAAGCTGAAACGACACTTTTCGAAAATGACAATTTCATGAAAAGTCTGGTCTAAGTTCTATGGTATTTCTAGTTTCCAAGATTTCATACCACACTTTTTTTATAAGAAATCAAGCTTTCATTGAAAAATATCAAAGAATATACAAAAGCATGTGTAAAAACAAAAATAGCCCATCACTCAATAAAAATGGACTCCAATTCAAAAAAATAAGGCCTAACTGATAATTATTTTTAAAAAGATCCAACACCAAAGCCCAAACAGAGGCATTAAACCTGTTACTTCACGACTCCCTCACAAATCTCTCCTCTCTAAAGATTCTATGATTCCTTTCTAACCAAATCCCCCAAACCACGGCATAAAAGCAAGTTTGCCAAAGAAATTTTCCCTTCTCCCTAAAAGAAGGAAACAGCAAAATCTTCTCCATCATAGCCCCTCCAAAGGGAACACCACCAGGGTCTCAAATCTGGTTAACTTTTCCATGTAAAACCTACTCGGAAAAGAACATCTTCTTTGGAATAATAATCTTCTAGAGCTAGGAAAAAGGGGGGATAGGAGAGGACGAAGGAGCACACAAAAGGTGGAAAAGAGAGCTGAAAGAAGAAACAAAACAATAAGGGACTTCTTTTCTTCCAATATTTGTCATTGTTGGTATAACTTTTATTTGTTGTTTATATACCTTTTTTAGGTAACTTAACTCGGGAAGAAGAAACAAAATATAACTTCTTGATGACCACAGTGTCTTTGAAGTCGATTTAGATTTAATATACGTTCTAAAGTTCTAAAGTTCTAGTCAATATGCATGTTGATGTCATGAATTGAAAACCCCAAAAATTCATGATCAGATATGTGCAACTAAGAGGACAATAAAGATATCAAATGCTGATTTCAACTAAAGAATGATCAACACATTCCTGCAGATGCATAGTAGAAATGGTGTACTGGTTCAAAGAATGAGTGCAAAATAAGGATTGAAACTTTCATTCAGAAAACACACAGACCTCCGTTGTGTATCAGAATTGAGTAAAACGGAGTTCACCGTCAAAATAAGATCTGAGTTCACATTATCATAGCCATCATTGAGGACTCCAGTTGATGGACTCGTCAAAAATCTCTTCAGGTTTAACTCTTCTGAATATTTAAACTCTGGATTGCATTTTCTGTAGGTTTCAACGATGTCCTTGGTTAATCTAGCAACCAGCTGAACAATCAAAAGTTTTACGTCAGAAGAACAGATTGCTATTTCTCATTGAATCAGTATCAATCTTAAAATGACAAAATATAAATTATGTAGTCCTAGGATGGATGTCGTAGTAACATAACCCATATCAAATCAAGGTCCAATATTGATGTAGTTCAAGTTTGCTAGAAATTTTATGAAGAAAGTTGTTTTCCAAAAGATCCAAGAGGCTGTTTTTTTCATATGATTAACCAGATTTTCAGGAAAAATGAAGAATGTAAGGACATATTAATAATAAGAAGAAGAATAAGAATAACAACACACAAAAAGGAGTCAAATTACAAAAGCCACTCCACTCCAATCCAATAACAAAGATCTGGAGGTTAATTACAAAAAGGGCTCGTAACCGGAACCCATAGAGAAACATAGAATCAAATGGACCATGTATCACTAAAAGAACTCTCTTGACCCCTAATAGGAAAGGTTTTATGGCAGTTTTGCTTTTTTGCTATGTTCTAGGGCATCTAGCACGAGAGCAAAAGTAAAAATTTTCGTGGGGTGGAGCGATCTGAGGAGAAACTTCTGGATAAAACTAGGTTTAGTTCCTCTTTGTGGTCATTTTTTAATACGTTTTTTTTTTTAATTATCAGCTTAGCCTAATTCTTTTGAATTGGAACCTCTTTCTATAATTGGAATGGGGGGTGTTCGCGCCCTTGTATATCCTTTCATCTATCTCAGTAAAAGCATATTTCTTTAAAAAAAATGATAGGATGAGTAGCTTCTGAGGATTAATTCCTCTTAATCTAAGTGTGCTTCTTCTTCAATCTGGTAGCATCATAAAGTTTGACCATGGAGTATTGGTGGATGTCTTTGATTCCAAAAGGCACTAAACTGATTCTAAGGTCTTATGTTCAGAGACACTCTCATAGTACTTTTTCTTCAATCTCGTAGCGTCATAAAAGTTTGACCATAAAGTACTGGTGGATAACTTTCATTCCAAAAAAATTAAATTGATTCTAAGGTCTTATGATCGGAGGCCCTCTCATAAAAGTGCGAAAGAGTACAGAAGAAACACATTGAAGAAACTTAAAGAGCTGTTGGGAGTGCTTTGTAAAGTGGTTTTCTGTTTTTGAAAAATAAAGATTTGGTGAATGCATGTTTGGATGACTGTATCATAATTCTATCTTGTAATTTTTCAAGTTGGGAAAGTTCCATGTAGGGGGTTCATTGGGCACCGTGTGAATGTATTTTGGGAGGCTTGAGAGGGTTGAGGAATGGATATAGTGATGTTTTCAAGTTTGTAACTCTCCACATTATCAATGGAAAGTTTCGTTTCTTTTAAAGAAAATGTTCTAATGACCCTTTTTAGTTGTTCCTCTTGAATTTTCCAAGTCTATTTCTAGGGATCTTCTATTTTATAGAATTAATAAACTTGTTTATCCATTTAAAATCATCATGAACAACGATTCCGAACTCCCAAAAAAATTTAAACTTATAAATAGTAAGTTCAAGTGCACAAAGATGTTTTTATAAGCCATCCAAATATTGTTATCGATAATAGTTTTAAAGACAAACAAAAATCTGTTTCTGAGAACAATGATTATCAAGGGGGCCTTGGGTTGCTATCTCAAAATATTGTGCTGAAAGTGATGAATGGTACAAGTTTGTGATGGGCAAGCGGATAGAATCAGATTTGAGGAGTAACCTTGTTCTGGGGATAAATATGTTTTGGTATGCTTAATTATAAACTTATTATCTTTCAAAATTAACTCCCCTAAAAAAAGGAAAACAAAACTTTACGTGATAAAATTGGTCTTGTAAGGTTACATTGATCACTCTCACTCTACTTTAGCTAATTCCACCTTGTATTCAACTTTAGTGAATTCCATCTCGTTTTAGTCCAAAGATCCTTCTTTTTGTTCATACTCTTGGTCTCTTCGTTCTTGAAAATGACCTTTTAATCTTTTAAATGATTGGACAAAAGACTTCTCCTCCTTTCTCAAAAGAGTCAGTGACATTCAAGATCCCGTCTTGGTCTATCCTTTCATGACAATGCCCCTCTTCTGATCTTTTAACTGGTTGAACAAACGACTTCTCCTTTCTTAAAGAAGTCACAAAACTCAATATCCCTTCTCCTTTCCTACTAACTTAAAATTTCATCAATAAATTTCCTTCAAAAGTCCCATGTCATTTGTCAAAAGAACGACCATCCTCACTTGTAGACACCAAGCAGAACCTCCATACTTCTTTTCATTCCATTTTTTAATAATGTAATATTATCTACACTCCAAACATGCTAATTCAAGTTTTTTTTCAGCCAACTTGTACGCTCGTCTTCTTTCGAACAACATCTTGCATGGCCTCCATGAGGTAGCTTATGACTTGGAGTTCAAGGGACAATGAAGTGAACCGATGGCCAATCCAATGCACCTGCTTTTGAAGCAATCTAATCTAAAAAGATGAAAATTTTCTCTTCTCCTACCTTTGGGCCTCAAAGCCCCAACAAACCTTAGGGCTAAACTAATAGATACTTATTTTATGCACTATAGCTGCTAGACTCGATCATATGCCCTCCACTATCACATAAAAGACAAACTAGAAAGCAAAGAAACCCAAGTAGAAAGTAAAGAAATAAGTAAGGACTTTTTGTTCATCAAATCTATCAATCTTTAAAGACTCTTTGATCCTTTTACACTTGATTTTCTTTTACACAATATCTGTCCTTGTAAATTTGGTAAACATCACAACTAAGACCCTTGGTATTTCTAAAATTATCAAAAGAGGCACAATACAAATATAGACCAAATTTTCTTAGAATGACATATACTTCTACAACTACAAACGAGTGAATCAAATAGGCTACAGAAAGCATCCTACTACGACAACTGCAGCCAGTAGTTCTATAAGTTTCTAAAGGAATGCATCTTTCTTTACCGAGTGAGATGGACAAGTATTCCAGCACTAAAAATTTCAACAGGAATAGATAATGATAGATATGTCTAACAGTAGGTAAGACATGCGTGGAAAATTGAGGAACTTGTTTAAAGATGCACCTCCTGGAGCTGAGAACTTCAACCGTGAACCACGCCATAGGGAAAAGTCTCAATTCAGCAACAAAACACTAAAACTACGATAAAGTTTGGTATCAAACATGCAGACTGAAAGAACAATCATTTGCAACATCGATGTCCATCAAGCTATTAACAACTACATGATTTACCAACAAGTTAAGCAAAATGGAAAAGAACACAAAGAAAGAGAAGACAAGAACTTACGGGTATTCTGGCGGCAAAACGCGAATCTTGGGGTTTCGCAGCAGCAGCAGCAGCAGCAGCATCTTCCCGGTACAAATAAGGACTAAAACCGAGTTGCCTAGGATGCCACAGCGGTCCTACAGACGCCGATGTCGAAGCAGCCAGTGGGTCGCATTCGGCGCTGGAGTGTGCAGGTAACCGACGGTCAGCTTCATCACTTATGCTAACTTCTTCCTTAGCCATAACCAAGGCAGGAAATCAAGCTCCAACCAAAGAATTGATATCGCCCAAATCCTCCATTGGAGCTAATCCTCAAGCATAAAAAGCAAAACCAATAACTAAACAATAAAAACAGAAATTGACGGTGGGGTTCAGTAGTGGGTGGGTCGATTCTTGAATCCCCCCAATTGCATCTATGGTTTCAGCAGAGCCACTCCCAATTGAAGAAATCCGCCAACTGAATCCACTCCCATTCTGATTTTGTCTCTAATTCAATCTCCAGAAACCGACAAACCCCTCCCAAGAATCCATGGCACACAAAAATCGATCAATCTGACATGGGCGTATCAGATTGACGATTATCTAAACATTGAAATGAATCCTCCAAAACTTCGATCAGACAAGAAGCAACAAAAATTGACCCAAATAATATAACTTCACACTATAAAAACACAATCACAAAACCACCAAGAAAGAAAATCCCACAATTCCGATCGATGGCGAAGGGGAAGTGAGAGAGATTAAGAGAAAAGATACGGAAATTGGGAAGTGGAGAGAGAAAGTTAAGAGGAAGAGAGAGAAAGAGGGGAGATGAATTTTTTGTGTATGGGACAATAATGAGTTTATGTTCATCCAATAGCGAAGTTCAGCAAAAGTAAGGAAAACCCTTTTTTATTTTTTTTTATTTTTTTATAAAATAAATAAATAAATAAATTGTCATTTTTGTCACATATTTGTGAACATGCAGGACAGAATTTACGTTACGTGTAAACACTTTTGTTGCTTTTATTTATTTATTTATTTATGCAAATTCATAACTTTAATGATTTAAAAAACTACTAAAAAGACTTTTAAAAATTACTAATTTCGATTTCTTTCGTTCTCTACAACTTTATTTCCCGAGCTTAAATTTATATAAATATAGTTTTGAACGTATTCATATAAAATACGTATGTCTAAATTGTATAACGATGATTTTGATCGTATTTATTTTAATATAAGTTTTACTTAGAATTTTAATACTTTATTAAATTGATTTATTCGAGAAAGTTTTAGATTTTAATTAATATAATTGTTAGTTATTGTTTTAATTAGTTGAAGTCTAAGATGCGAAGCTCCATTTGATATTAAAATAATTATTGCCAACTATACTTTAAAAAAACAAACTAGTTGTAAATCTAAAAAAAATATATCACATTGTTTGAAAATTAATATGAAATTGTTGTAGTTTAGCAATGATATATATATATATATATATTCAATATATAAATTATTACAGCATAATCGTTTTTAAATTGACTAGTTTAACTTACAAAATTATATAGTTCTTATTACTTTAATATCCGGAGTCTCTACGTTTAGAACGTGAGAATGATAATGTAGCAGTTTAAGTTTATCGCTAGAAAATATTACTTTAGTTCGTTATGTATCGTCGTCAGCCTCACAATTTTCAAAACTCATCTACCAGGGAAAGAATTTTCAAAACACATCTACTAGGGAAAGTTTTCACACTCTTGTAAGAAATGTTTTATTCCTTTATCCAACCGATATAGAATCTCACAAATAATGTCTATAAGTCACATAAAAAAAAATATTGATGTCGTTCTTCATTTCTTCCTTCAAATCTTCATTTTGGACATCTCACTCTTACTCAAAATGACAATCACTTGGATCGTATTTTCTTCGTAGATAACTATTTTTACTTGTTCTTGAAAAGGATAATTAGGCATGCCTCCTCAAATCTTCCATCTCTTCTTTCACGCTCTATAAGTCAGTCCGACGACACTTCTAAGAGAAGAATGTGTTCGGTTGAATATCTCTAAGTAATTCATTGGTTGACTACCTCAACGAAAAGAAAGAAGACGATAATTAAGAGTTCCAGAAGACGATAATTAAGAGTTCCTTATTTTTGTTCAAAAATACTGTTAGACGAACACGACTCTTTACAATGGTATGATATTGTCCACTTTGAGCATAAGCTCTCATTGCTTTGCTTTGGGCTTCCTCAAAAGGCCTCGTACCGATGGAGTCAGTATTCTTTCTTTATAAACCCATAATCATTCCCTAAATTAGCCGATGTGGGACTTCCATCTTCCAACAGATACAACCATATTGCATATGGGATTGAATTACTTTAGCCTCGAAAGTAATCCAATCCCATACAAAATTCCTACAAACAAACAACCACTTGTATCATCATGGGGTTACATTCCCCTAACTTCAATGTTTCTATAGAAATGTGTCATTATGAACTCAAAAATTATATACAAGTTATCAATGCACACACAATAGTTTTGGCTGATTTTCTTTTCTAAGGCCAAAGGAATGCTCTGTACATGAACTGAGGAGGATGAAGAGGGCAACCAAGTATGAACATAATTGATTTTTCCTTAGCTTGAAAGCAAAGTTCAATGGCTACCAATGTCCTAATTAATGGATGGCAACATTGGATTCATTCCAATATCAGATCCTCCAAAATTACCTGGTTCTGCATGCTTCACTCTTCCAAAATAACGTATATGACGTAATAGCCTCGCCAAGAACGTATTTTGACATATTGTCGAGCTATCACAGACAAGTGCTACGTGCTTTCTTGCCCTCGTTATGGCCACATTCATCCGCCGGCTGTCTCCCAAGAACCCAACAGCTCCAAGATTGTTCGACCGTACCTGATAAAATAAGCACAAAACATCATATAATCTTGAATGCTCCATACAATATACCAATCAGACAAATATCCATTAGCTTAACAGTAAGAACTAACAATTCACAGTTCTTTTCTTTAATTCGAGTTCCGGTTGAGATCTATCATTTTTTCCAGCAGTCACTGATAGTGCATCATTTAAATCAAGCAATGTCTTAAAAGTCTGGTAGCTCTATGCACAAAGGAGATAGAAGAAGCCAAGAGTCCTCACAAAATCTCACCCTATTGCCATTGGCAAACTTCCATAGCCTACATTTTGGAACTTCTTGACTTGATGCATAAGGGAAAGGAAGTTTTGAATGGAACATAATCTAATCGTGTTAACAGATAAGGCTCTTCACATGAGATCCAAGAAAGTGCTGTAGGGGAATTTTTTAGAATTTCTAAGTATAGGAATCAGGAGGATGACAAATGGAGAAACCAGTAAGTGCTGTAAGGCAACTTAGTAAATTAATTGGAAGGTCACCTCAAGCTGTGTTGCACAGCCTTCCTATCTACCATTTTTTTTCTTCCTTCTCAAGACCATATTCAGACTACCAAAGCCATAGAGAAGTTGATGAGGGGCTTTGTTTGGAGTGGTGGAACCTATGAACCGGGCAGCAACTTGGTTAATTGGACAATGACCTCACTTCCTTTGGTTTATGGTGGGCTTGGCATGGGTTCTTTTCGTCAAATAAACATTTAGTTGTTAATGAAATGGCTTTGGAGATTCACTATGAAAGAAAATTCTTGTGGAGAAAAGTGATTGTAATGATGTATGGTTGTGACTCAAACGGTTGGGTCATGGATGACTCAACAGATTAAAAGAAAAGCTGGAAGGTAGAGACATTGGTAAAAACAAAGAGTTGTTCTTCAGGCATTTTTTTTTTTTTAACTTGTAGAAAATTGGGCAGCACTTGGTGAAAATTTTGAAAGAATTCAGATTGGAAGGGGGGCAGATAGAATTAACTGAATTTTGGAGTTGAGGGATCCTTTTCCTTTAGATCTGCTTCAATCAGAATGGGGCTCCCAAAACTCACTGGCTGACTTTAATTTGGAAGGCAATCATCAATGTGAATCATGTGTATCTTACCATTGATATGATCACTGCATCCGCCTCTCGGCCTTGGAAGCTATCAATAGTTGCTACTTCAATACCAGCAGCTTCAGGAACTTCATCAAGCCTGTTCCTCAATAGTTGTACTTGAGCAACATAAGGAGATTGGACTGCAATTGCTCTTGGGCTGACACCTGTGACCGGATTTAGAACAGATAATGTCAATAACTTTTTTTTATGACAGATAATGTCAATAATCTTCATCCAAGATGGAAGTACAAAAAGTAAAAGCCGTAACACCATAAATGCCTGCTAAAACAAGAAACAAAAAACTATATCTAATGACCCAAATGCTTCCAAGAAGTATGCGTTAATGGGTGAAGTTATGAAATCTCAGATGATGCATTCTTTATTCTTCAAGCCAACTTTTTCACACCTCTAACTATTCTCACGAAATAATTGTCTAACCCTATTACATTTGTTTGCCAAGAAAACTCATAAAACATTAAATTATACGAGTCCTAAACTCTAATATTTCTAAAACATGACCTGATTTTGTTTATATGAAGCAAATTTTATAGAGTTGAATATATAAATACTTGTCATTCAACAATATTTAGATTGCATACTGCTACACGTACATCTTTAGCTTTCCCCACTTCCATTCACCAAACCTCTATGTTTGCCATTATATGCTTCCCTAATATTCATATGGTATGAACTAAAGAATAATATTATTGATATTCACATATAAAGAACATTTACCAGAATAAATCAATGAGTAGACATGTTGCACGACAATATCTGCCTCGCCTTCATTGTATAATGAGCCCGTACCGGCTGGATCTAAGTGCTCTTCACAACCAACTGACAAACTGCCATATGACATTCTAGTGTCAAGCAACAGCAAGGGGCACTGGGTAATCCATGTTGGCTGCATCAATACAAAGTAAAATAACAGTTGCTAAGTATCACACGGGACAAGGCTTTCAAAAGATGTAAAAGAACCTGGACCACAATGTTAGGCAACTCATGGAGACTTATGAAAGTTTATTATACAACGAGATAAATGTATAGTTATTATTGACTCCATATAAAAGTACACAAGATAAATATCTAGAATTGAAATACACAAGTTTTTTTAGTGTAGAAACAAATAAACACTAATTTTCTGAAGACAGCAAAAAGAGAAAGCAAATGGATGCAGCAAAGGCTAGATTCCTGCTCTTTTATGTGTGGATGATTCCCAGGTTACGAGGTCATCCGAATGGAAGAGGCTACTGTTTACAAATAATTAAATACATGCCATCTCAACTCAAGAGGTAGAATAGGGAAATGACGGAAGGAACAAAATAGCTAGGATTAAAGGAATACTAAACTGTTTAAGACCATCTCATAGTTCATTCTAATTACAATAGCACTCTGAGTTATGGGTGGAATTTTCCAACAATATCTTTGAAGCCATGGGTCTAAGTTTTGTTTATCAATTATCTAGAAGATACAGGCCCACCAATTGATGTAGATAAGCTAACCTGGTCTTCACATTATTCAAAAATAATAATTTAAAAAAGTTACCCGTAGGAAATTCTCACAGACCGAATCTTTGGACTCATTTCTTGGAACTAAATTTATCGACAATGCAGTCAAAATAGACTCTGTAATGTAAAAATCTCAAATTCATACGGGTTACTTGAAGGGAACTCGTAAAAAAAATGTTGAAGGGAACTCAGAAGATCATTTACAGAAAAGCAGAATCATGATCTTAGAAATATAACTAAATAACCTTCACCAACATGAATGTCAAGACTGGAATGCAAGAGCGCACTATAGTAATTTTGGAGTTGGTACCTTGACAAATAGAGAGTTAACTAGAAG